ATGGCTGAGAGCAAGCTGCCCCTGAGATGAGGAGGACTTCCCCTTGCTAACCAAAGAGACTGGTGATTCTTATCTGTCCCCACCAGATGTGTCCAGCAGTTTCAATTTCTACTCCATCTCAACCAAACATCATAAAGTTCAAATCAACACTTACGTCATCGAAACAAAAGTGTTTACACTGATAGGCTTTTAGTAATTTTGTGATTAGTCTGAAGGCAGAAGTGGCGTCCCTGCCTGGCACTTTGTCCGGGCAAGTCCAGGCCCGAGAACATCCTCCAGACTTCCTGCGAGCGTGGGTGTGAAGAGATAGAGCTAGATTCCTGATGAGAGGAGGGAAGGAGGAAGTACCCTTTGAATGCGATTGACTGACTTTATTCCAAATTCTTGCTGCCTTTTAGATGAAAACAAAACAAAAAAACAGCTTACTGTTTTTGAAATGCGAAAATTCACAAAGCAGATCAGTTTTGGATCCAACAATTCATAGACGTTGTTTCATGTCATTGATTGCAATGGCCACAATGTAGCTAACATCACTTACCTCACCTCCTCCTTGCGTTTCATGTTTGCGTCCCTCCTCTTTTCCCAACCCTTCGGAAGCCGGTCCTTGGGGAAAGGTGGCTCTTTCAACCTCCAGTCCCTGATGATTCTGAGGGAAGCATACTTCCCCACTGTTGCTCCTTGTATGGATCTGCCTATTGCTTGGTTCACAGTTGAGCCCTATGGGCGAGTTCCTTTCCACGTCTGAAGGATGGCTAAGGGCCATAGTTGCAGGGGCTCCACTGTCGGACCAGTATGTGACTTTCACTGCTTTTGATAAGACATTCTCTGCCTCTCTGTTGTTGTGACAATGTACCTTTCCCGATGACCTGCTGTGGTATCATTACTTTATTGTTCAGATCTTCCTTCCTTCATTAGCTTCGTGGAGTCAATTCCAGCTCGTGTGCCTCCGTGGATTTCAGAGGAGAGCTGTGCTCAGGCGGGGCTTCAGTGACTGGTGTTTTGGAATTCAGATCGCCAGGCCTTTCTTTCGAGGAACTTCTGATGATTGTTGCTGGGCGCAGTCGAGTCCACTGCGACTCGTGGCAACCGTGTGTACACCAGAACGAAAAATACCGGTGTGGCACCATCCTCACAATGGTTCTTCTGTTTGACCCTCCAACCTTCCATCTTTGGTGTAGCTGTCAAGTGTGTTAACTTTTTGCCCGTCCGTGTCCCCTCTCTCCCCCCCCAGGGCCTCCACTCCCTCATCCAGCCCAGTCTTTTAGCTCAGGTGCACAGGGGAGCAGGTTTCCTTCTAGAGCAGTGGTTCTCAACCTTCCCAATGCCACCACCACCCACACAGTTCCTCATGTTGTGACACCCCCAACCATGAAGATATTTTTGTTGCTACTTCATCACTGTAATTTTGCTACTGTTATGAATCAGGCGACCCCTGTGAAAGGGTCTTTCAACCCCCGAAGGGGTGGCGACCCACAGGTTGAAAGTTTGAAACGTACAGATTCACAGCACTTTTACTCATTCTGGTGCTGGTTGGTGTGTTTCCCTATCTTTTCCATTAGCTGTTTAGAGCCATGCTGGCGCAGTGGTTAAAAGGCTCGGCTGCTATTGGAGAGATTGGCAATTTGGGCCCATTAGTCACCGTGTGTCCAGTGAGACTGTTGTGTGAGGCCGTGTGGACTTGAGAAACAAATCCAGTGACACTCATCCATACAAGAAAGAACTTGATATCAAGAAGTAATTCCATATCGGGGAACATCCCAGCCTGGTCCAGCTCAAGTCCATGAAGCCCAATACTAGTCCGTAAGTCCCTCTTCAGACTCACGAAGCCCCACACAATGATGCAGAATGCAGGAAGAACACGGGCTTGTGATGCAAAGCCCATGGCTCCAATGGTGGTAGACACATCTCCATGGCTCTGACAGCAATCAGGGTCCTCCAGCAGGAAGGTGAAGGCAGGGAAAGAGGAAGAGGTTCCCAGGACCCTCCTTAGGAGAAGGCCACGCCCACAAGGAGGCACCATCAGGTTGTGACCTGATTGATAGGCTAAGCTCCACCCCTACACTTTTATATATCTTCAAATTGGCATGACATTATATAACTATCATAACTATCCTTCAAAAATGTGGCAAAACTAGAACAGATAAGATATCAAAGGAATTTGATAGACCAGCCTTACAAGACATATTAAAAGGCACTTATTTGGACCCAGAACCAACCCCTGGCACCAGTCTGTAAAGCCGGCAGCCCTTGAGACCCTGGAGGGCAGTTCCCCTCCATCTTACAGCGTCGCCATGAGTCAGATCAAGTCCAGGGCAGT